CAAGAAACCTGTTGTAGAAATTCTACATTGGATTTAGGATAGTATGGATAGGCAGCTAGAGGCCAAAAATTTTATATGCTCTCTCTTGAGGCGTGTGAATGAAGAGAAAGAGAACGTAAATAAATAATGATGTAGGGCCTTCATGAAGGGATGAAAAACATAATTGTGTCACTAGTAGGAGGACTCATAGATGCAGTGTAATGACCTAGAAATTTAAAAAATTTTAATTTAATTAAAAAATAAAAATTAACCTAATTAACTTATGATAAGATATTTTAACTATATTTTCGTTCCCAAGGCAGCTTAACAAGAGTGAATTGGTGGTTCAGGAATGACCTTGGATGTTTATTAATAAGTCTTGAGTTCAAATCTCCCTGGTACACAATTTTATTTTTTTCAGCCTAGGTGAATTACCGTTATATCCTTAAAATAAAATAAAAAAAGATAAGAGGAGAGGCAATTCAGAACAAAAACCGGACGCACCAGATTGTTCTCTCATCCTCCTCCATTTTTGAATTTTCCAGACCTTGCGAGAGAAAGAGAGAGCGTTCAGACCTTTAGGCTCTGGTCTCCGTCCTTCCTCTATCTTCTTCTTCTTCCTTCTCCGTCTTCAACGTCGCTGCCATAGATGAGGTCGGGAGTTCCGTCCGCCACTGCTAGAGACTGAGCTGTGAGTATTCTTTCTTGGAATACCATCGATTTCTCCCTTCCTCCTCCGTTCGGTCATTGTTCTTCCTCCTCCTCTGATAATGTCGTGTTGGGTGCTTCAATTTAATGCCGTGGGAGCTAATTTGTTGTTCCAGAAGGTCCAGATTTGTGATCATCCCTCTTTCCCTGCTTTGCTGATGCTCTTCTTCTGCCTCTGCCATTGCTGTTCTTTGTCCTATTTCTGCCATTGCTAACTTGAGGTGAGAGTCTTCTCTCTTCCTCCTCCCTGATCCTGTGGGTGTGTGTTATATGGTTGGGCAGTGATTTTTCCTATTGTTGATCGCTACTATGCGTGATAGGAAGGAGTAGTTAAGGTTCAAATTTTTTTCCTTTCTCTCCTTTCTTAGCTACCGTAGGTCTAAGAAGAAAAAAAAAATTGTGTAAACTGAATTGATTTCAATTGTTAAGTTAGTTTAATCATTGTTGGTTGCTATTGATAAAGATGGATGGGAGTTTGATCTCTTCTTCGAGTTTAACACTGATTTGTATGGGAAATATATATATATATATATATATATATATATAAGTTTGATGAACCCAAATGTTGATATTAGGAATTGTGGGAATGTGATTTGAAGAGAAGGGCTTAGAATTAAATCTAAATATTTATGATTGCAAGATGTTCGATGCAGTGCCTGTTAGAAAGAGTTTTGTTTAATTATGAATTTTTGAAATGTCATTAAAACTTATGAGGACAAAGTTGGTTTGGGTGTTAATTATTTATGGATTTAACTTAAATTTTGTGAAGAATTTTGATTATGAAGTTATTGCGAGACAAATTGAATTCTAGAGAATTGTATGATTGTTGATAAATGTCAGATAAGAGATTGAATGTTAGAAAGTTTTAGTTGACTGATTAGAAATAATACACATAAGGTGTTTGTTGAAATGTATGCAAGAGTAACTTGGTTTGGAATGGGACAATCAAACATGATCTGATTTAGGTTGTTCAATCTTTGTGTTGAACTTTTGAAAAGTACAAATATTGCTTGAATATATATATATATATATATATATAATGATATTATATAACACACACACACACACACATATTACTGATAAAATTCAATGTTTCTTTCTTCATGTGAAAATTGATATTAAGATGTTCTCTTTAAATTTGTTATGGACTTGGAATGGGAATGTGTCAATTGAATTGTTGAATAGTGACTTTAAATAATTTAAGGAGATTAGGTTGATGTTTAAATACTTATTGGTATAAGTAAGAAGTTCCTCATGCTTTAATAAAATGTACTTGAAATTTTGAAGAACCTTAGTGATAAATCACTCATTGGTTACTAAGAGAATAAGGAATATGTGACACGGATATCATTCTAGGTTAAAGAAAGAAATAAGAAGAATTTGATTTTTTAATATGGCTAATGGGTTAAGGACAAATGAAGATTTAAAGGACTTTACTATGTTATAGACAAAATATTGGGTCGATTAATGTTAGTTGAAAAACCATGAAGTAGAGTTATTTTTAAATGAAGTTATTTGTTCTTATTTAGGTAATAGAGTAGCGTAAGGGAAAATGAGAGTTGTCTAGGAGGAACATATTATCATCTTGAAAGTTTATTAAGTAAGTGAATAACATCCTAGTTAATTTATCAATAAAATTTCTTTTATTGAAATATTACATTTTTATATAAATAATTTTTTTATTTATTATGATAAGTATTGGGCACTTGTTAATTACATTATTTTATTTTATGAAAATATATATAAAATTGTGGCAAAGAATAGTTAAGTTATGGCATGTACATGTATTTTTCTTATGAATTATATTTTTTAAGATGATGAAATTACTTTGACTAATAAATACAAGAATGAATATTATCTATGAAACTTTATTTTGACAAGTATTGAATTGATGCTCAAGATGATCTATGCGAGTTTGATATTAAGAATAAAAATTGTATTTTAGAAATGTCTATATTTTTCTCGTATGTTTGAAAAGAAATTTTGAGAGAACTTTAAGCAAAACACTATTGTTAATGGTAGTTTCGTTAGCTCTTGGTGTGTCATGGTAATGTTATCATGTTTATTATTCGTGGCTTTCATACCTGCCTTTGATTTTGTGGTTTCAAGCTGCATTTGATTACTTACCCTCATGAATTATGTGTCCATATTTGTTTTTATAGCATAAGTCACGTTTGGTTATTTTACTCGTTTGTCACCTATTTTGTTAATGGTTTCAATTAGTATATGTACCGCTTTTATTCACATGTAAATTATTTATTTCTTCAAGCATGACTGAATAAAGTAATTTTGAGTACATTCTTAGTTTATGGTTATGACTCATGATTTCAAGATTTAGTTAGTATGTTATATTGAGTTATTTTCTTTCTAAGTATTTTACATAATTGCTCAAGTTTATTATTTTATTCATTTAAATTTTTATTAGGACATTATTCACTAGAAAACTATTTTTAGTCTCTGATAGTGTAGACGGCTTTAGACTTCAGTTGATCTTTGAGGGGCTTTGTCTTGAAGCGAAGAAGTAATTGACTAGTCCCCTTTTGATGTAAAATTTTAAATTATGAATTTATGTTTTGTAAATTCTATTTTAGGTGTTCCACATAAACTATAGTTAGGATTCTCATTTTGATTGCATATATTGTTGATCTGTTGATGAAGCAAAGCTCCTTATTGTTATCTTATGCCAAATGGTGCTATTGTTTGTCAAGAAGTTCTATTTTTAGGGGAAATTGTCAAAATTTTTACAAAAATATTAAATCTTTTCTTTTTTTTTTGGTTGGTATTGAAAATGGTTTAATTTGTTATCGAATGTCTTCATTTTTAGAAATTAGAGTTTTCTTAAATTAAGGCTTTTGGGACATAGGTGTTGTTCTTTTATTTTGTGTTGATCATGTCCTATTTTTGGGGCGTGACATGCAAGCTCAACTTTAGGGCCATACAGGGGGCAACCCTTAAGAATTAGTCCAAACGCAAGCCCATAAGCTACATGCTTGTAAGGGATCACATTTTTCTTCATACTTTTGCTATTACTAATCTGATAAATAACCTATTATATTATTTATAAGAACCAAATATTGATGGCGTGGGGGCCATGGGAATGCTCCCAAGGAGACAAAACAAGCCATGAAACCAATTAGTAACAATAGAGACCTAAAGGGATACTATACAGGACTTTTACGGGCTAGGGCTAAGATCAATTGGTTGGCCTACATTTACAAAGCCATATCTTGAGTATATAAATTAGGAGAATCCTTACTCCAAGCGCTATGGAATGCCAAACTTTACCTTATTCTCTGTAGATGGCACACAATCAATATTAGAGCATATTGGTAGGTTTACCATTCAATAGGGTAAAATCGCCAATTATGAGTTAGCAATCTAAATCTATAGTTGTTCCCAAATTCCCTCATAGGCCTTGCCTTCACATAGTATACAAACTTAGCATGCAATTCCATTCTTACTTGACTAGAAATAGAACAGAAATTCTACATCTAGTTCTACAAAGCTGAGCTTGAAATCAACATTATAGAACTATGCAAACTAACTTAATGGGATGGCGAGACAATAGACCAATAACTTGCTAGGTTCAAGGCATTGAGAGGTAGGTACAATGTGCCTCTTCTAAAGGTTGAGTTTGTCAAACTGGCACATTTAAAATTAGGCATAGAACTGAGGAAAAAATTTTAGGGAATAGAGTTCAGTGAGTTTTATGAACTTATTGCTAAAGTCTATGGGTATGAAGAATTATTGAAAGAAGAAGACCATCACAAACTCACAACCATAAGTACTGTAATAACCCCAACAAAATTTAAACTAAATAAATATATATATATATATATATATATAGGGTAACTTACTTAAAGTGTGTTTATATTAATTTTTAGGATAAATATAATAAGTTAGAGACTTGGTCTAATGGCAGCTGAGCAACCTTCCATACATAAGGTCCCTAGTTCGAATCCCCGGCGTAACAAATGGGATTTTTACTTTGCTTGGCTCTTCTGAAATTACCAGAACACCCTTGCTCCCTCAGATATATTTTCTCTTCTCTCTCTTATCTAAGTCGGTTTTACAGAGTATGAGAAAGTGGTAGAGAAGTCTGGAAGGTTGGTGCACTTCTTCTCTTCGTTTTTCTGTGCCTCGATTCCCTTTCTTATTTTTTGGTGGCCGCTTATGAGAGTGGAGGATGTTGCAGCTCTGTAGCATCCAAGAGGTTCACTGTCATATTTCCTGTCTCTGTTTTTTTTTCTTTTCGTCTGCTGTTCTGGTTGCGTCGCTCAAGTTCGATTTACTATCAGAATGAGAAGCTAAGTCGCCGGAGAAGTTGATGTGCTGTCAAGGGCTGGGTTGTCTCAGCTGATTCGGTTCTCTTCCTTCTGGTGAGTGGAGATTGGCGTACATCCCCTGTTTTTCTGCAAGTTTTGTTTTCTCCTTCCATAACGTGTGGCAGCGTCGGTTCTCTTCTCTGTTCAGTATTTAAGGACCTTCTTTTTCCTCCTTTGCTGTCCGTCGCTGCCTGGGTCAGTCAAGTTGAGGTGAGGAGTTTCAATCTTTGTGTCATTAATTTTGCTGAGTTGTGCATGTAAGCTTTTGTTGCTGTGCGAAAGAATATAAGTGCTGTGTGTGTACGTGAAAACGCAGAAGTTAGTGTGTGTGCCTTGCTATTACTTCTCGGTTATGTGTAGTTATGGAAGCTTCAAATTTTTCTGCTGTCACCTGTACTGATACGTAGAGAGAAGACCAAAAAAAATAAAATAAAATAAAATAAAATTAATTAAAATTAAGCAAGAAACCCATTTGAACTTAGTAATAATATATGATAAATGTGGGTTGGGGGTTGAAATTTTAGATATTCATCCTTCCTTGTGATTACATGTGCATACATAGAAAGGAGTGTTTTAAATTAAATGAATATTGTAGTTGTATAACCAAGGAAAGTGATTGAATTAGTGATAATACTTGGACTGATTTCAAATCATAAATTTAGCTTTAAATTTTAGATAAGGATGGTTAATTTGGAATTATTTCTAAAGATTGGAATCTATGAAATGATTTTTTTCATGATAGGGGGTGAGAAAGAAGGAGACCCTGATCAGAATTAAAAGAAAGGATATCCTTAAGAATTTGAAGTTCTGACGAGTAAGTGAATAGCATTCCATTTAATTTATTTTCAATAGCCCTTTTCTGAATTATTTTATTCTTACGAATTATATTAATTTTGAAAATTATGAAATATCAATGAAGGACAAACGAGTTATGATACGTGCATTTATTATTCTCAAAAATGTATTTTCAAGATTGATGAAAGTATTTTTGTATGGTTGTTAAGCTTTGGAATGTAGTGGCTATTCAATTATTGCAAGTTTGGTATATTAGCCACAAAATATGATTTTCACAAATTTTGAGAATTGAAATAGTTCATGCGAGTTTGGTATTGAGAATGATAATCTTATTATAGCAGTAATTATTCTTCTCGCATGTTTGAAATGTGATTTTTAAGAGGACTCAAAACAGAACACTGTTGCTAACGGCAGTTCCGTTAGCCCGTAGCGCGCTGTGGTTAAACACTAGCTAGTTTGTTTCGTGAGTTTTATTCTCACGTTTGGTATTCGTGGGCTTCGTACCCGCGTTTGATTTCGTGGCCTGAGCCGCGTTTGGTTACTTACCCTCGTGGGTTGTGTGTCCACGTTTGTTTCATAGCTTCGGCTGCGTTTGGTTACTTACCCTCGTGGACTGTGTGTCCACGTTTGTTTCGTAGCTACGGCTGCGTTCGGTTATTTACCCTCGTGGACTGGTGTGTCCACGTTTGATTTCGTGGCCTGAGCCGCGTTTGGTTATTTACCCTCGTGAACTATGTGTTCACGTTTGTAACCTGTTCTGTTGAGTTCTCAGAAATTTAAATGTTAATTAATATGTGTTTTTAAAATTTACCCGATTTTGACTAGTAATTGGTATCGTTTTGAGTTATATGAGAGCAGATTGACTTCTTTTAGTATGATAACATAACTTGTTTTTAATTTACTTTTATTTTATAAAAATGGTCAGGACTTACATGTTTATAAATTTTGGTGAAATTGTTTTAACTATTTGATACTATTATTAGAGATTATTGATTAAAATTTTAAGAATTTTTGGGAATGCTATTCACCGAAAAATTATTTTGGCCTCAGATTTGTTAGCTGACGCTGATCCCACCATCGACCTCTAAAGGGCAACTAGCTACAGTGGGTGGACCTTTTTGATTGGTATTGTTTCTTTAATGTAAATATATAGTATGTATGTCTTTTAATTTGAAAGAAAGAGTAGCTGCTCCACATAGGTTGTTGATGAATCTTATTGTTGCCTGTATATTGGTTGCTGGCTGGAAGGAGCTATGCTCCTGACTTATACTATTAGTTGTAAAAATTTTTGTTGTAGAATTTTCGAGAGATCTAGTTACAGGGGAGGTTCTGCCGAAATTTTTACAAATATGTCAACACTTTTTTAAAAACAAAAAAAGGTTATTTTAATTCCCATATTATTTGATTGAATTTTGCCTTTCTTGAAAAATAAAAAAAAATGAAAAAATGAAATGAAATAAATGTTCATTTAGAGGCTTACGGGAATGTGAGAATGGTTCACACCCGTGCCGGTCACCCTCTATATTGGGGTGTGACAAGTACATAGTTTGGTGAGCTTGATATGGCTGTAGCAGAATTAAAGAATGTAAGAGATTACATATGTTTGGCCTTAATAAAGAAGGCTACTACTAAAGCTTTAAAGAGACCCAATGCAATACAATATACATTCAACACCTTTGAGAGTAAGGATATTTTTGATTACCTGTTAAAGGAGAGATCTATCTCGTTGCCCGCAAGTCATAAAATCCCATTCAGGAAAGAACGTAGGGATAAGGAATGTTGCAAATACCATCATTCTTGGAGCCACAATACCAACAATTATTAGGCCTTGAAGAATATGGTGCACAATCGGATCAACAAGGGCATATTGAAATTCCCAATAAAGGAAGAGTCCATGGTGGTGGATGAGGACCTATTTCCACCATTTGCTATTGTCAACATGATGGGAATAGCTGCTAACATTCGAGGTGTGAGAGGACACGATAGAGGGTAAAGAAATCATGTAAACAGCCATATAGTTCAACATGAAAGGGTTGGACCTGAAAACAAATGGCCCTAGAATGTATAAACAAGCATGGAAGAGTTTAAGGAAAGATCAGAGAGAACCAAAGTAATATGGGACCGCCTAGGAGAACCCTTAGGTAAATTTGACTATGTGAAGTATTCAACCCCACCTAGTATGGGAAAATCATTTAAAGGTAGACCCTCGAGTTAGGATGTAAGTCTAGAAATAGAACCAAGTAAGCAACTAAAGAAGATACCAAAGAGAATCAAAGTAGTGTGGGGCTACCTGGGAGAGCCCTCGAATAAATTCGACTACTTTATAAATTATTTAGCCCTATCTAGTATAGGAGAACCATTTAAAGGTAAACCCATGGGCTGGGACATGGGACTGGAAGAAGAAACAACATAAGAGCTCTATTTAAAGCCAAAGCCCATCCAAAGTTAGGGTAGGTTTGTTACTCCTACTAGTGACTTGCCGTCTCGACAATGGAGAATAGTAATCCACAAGCGAGCTTAAAGACAAGGCGCTTATAGTGCAAGCGAGCTTCATAAAGATATCTAGAGAGTTAGATTTAAAATTTGAATCATATTTTTAATTTTTGGATTATCAATTGTTTTAATACATGTTTGAAATATATTAAAATGCAAATTAATGTTAAATGATATGTAAAACATTTCATCATTGTTTAGTGAGTTACCAATCAATTTGAAAAACAAAAATTTGAGGTTTGTGTTCAAAAACATTTATCTTTAGAATTTATAGTGTTTGAAAATGTTTTTCCCTTTATTTAAATCTTTCTCTTCTTCTTTCCCTCCTTCTTTAAGTTTAACCATTCTCATTTTCTAAACTCCTATTTAGTATTCACTAATTTTTTCTATAACCATAATTGATTAAATTTTTGTCTCTTTTATGTTATTCAAATTTTCTTTCAGTACTTCTATAATGTTTAATAAATTTTTACCACATGACAAAATTATCTTGAAAAAAGTTACTAACGATATTTTATACCAACACATTAAAATAAGAAAATAAAATCAAAACTCCAAATATTTATGAAATTGAATATTAAGAAGAATTAATAAAGATATGTTTGAAATGACTGTAAATAGTATTTATATGACTAGAATTATTATTTTATTATAAATATTATTTTTAGTGCTAACTATTGTACATTTTTAGTATAGGAAGGCAAAAAGAAAAATAATTTTGAGAGTATATAAAAAATAATTATTTTATTGATATATAACATAACATGAAATTGTTTAAATAAAATAATATTTAATTTATCATAAATAGAATAAAGCATTAATATATATATATATATATAATATTTACAAGACTTAAAATTTTAAGTAGGTTCCATATTAAATAAATTTGACAAAAATTAATTTTTTTTAAAATGATTTTAAATACAAAATGTCCTATAAATATATTTAAATTAAATATTTAATTTAAATATTCCATATTGTAAAGTTATTAGTATTTATTAAAAATTAATTTTTTTAAAATGACAGTTAAATAAATTTATATGGTTAAAATTATTTTTTGTTAAAATATTTTTTAAATAATTAAAAAATGTAGATAAAATTTATTTCTAAGAAAAGAAGGAAAGACATTACCATTTTGAGAGAAGATAACAATTTAATCATTTATTTATTAATTTTTGAGAATCAAATGGAAATGATAAAAATAAAAGATGTTTAATATAAACTTAAATAATAAATATTTTAAATAAATTATATACTTACTTATTGTCATTTAAAAATAATATTTTTATATTTAAAATTTGTTTCATTTTAAATTCATTTTCCTAACAAAAATAATATTTTATTAAAAATATAATATAAATAGTCATATAAATAAGTTTATCATATTAATAATTGAAAATAAAATGCAATATATGTATATATTTTTAATAATATATTATTTTATATATCTGTATGTAATTAAATAATATATATTTAATTTCACGTATAATAATTACAGGTATATTTCAATTCAACTAGCAAAGAATGAGGATTTAAACTTTAAAAGTGATAGGCTAAGGGATCAAATCTTAGTCTTGGCATATTTCATAACGAATATGTGTTGTGACACATGATGTTGCATTGAATGATCCACGCGTGGATGAGAGAGGTGTCAGGTGAGTTTGCACATGCAGATACACATGTGACTAGTGAGATGTTAGGTTACATGACATTGATTGATTCATATGTGACAAGTGATGTGGCACTGGCATGGCAATGGAGTCTGGTAAATTTAGTTTTCATTTTTCAGATATTAATTTAGAGACTATTATATTCTGTCTTTATTATTTTATATAATTTTTAAAGCATTTTATAATATCAAATTTTTTATAAAATTAGAAATCACATTTTTTATTTAAAGACAAAATAAACTCATTTCTAATCAAATACAACTTAAAAAATTCATCTTTAATTATTTAACGATGTCCCTTTACGAGACAATTCGATATTCATCTCTGCTTGTTTAAAGAATGACTTTTTCATCTCTACTTGTTTAAAGAATGACTTTTTACTAATTGAAGATGGGTTATTGAACATCTCTAAACAGTAATTTTTTTTATTTTGATAGTGATTGTTGTTTCACCGGATTTGAAAAGGGTACTAATTTGTACTTGTTTGAAAGTTAACCGTGCATCATAATAAATGAGACACAGAGACGTGGCAATAACTTATATTGGGAAATAAAAGGGGAAAAAAGTACAAGAAAGAAAGGAACAGAGCCACCATAGTCTTAAATTATAGGCATAACTAAGTAGTTTAGCTTGAGTAATCGTTATTCCGAGGAAAAAGTAAAGTTAAAAGTTAGGGGTCTCCATGAGCTTATTATTTTTCTTTGCATGCGACTTTTCTGATTTTTTTTTTTTTTTTTGGGTTGGGGGCGGGGTGTATGTGTTGTGGTTCTCAGAACAAGTAGTAAAAGGAAATGAAAAGTCATTTTGCCGCGTTAATGGCCTTGCTGGATCGCAAGTAACAAATGTTGAATAGTAG